GATCCGAAGATGCTGCTCATGCTCCTCTCGGCTGCGGGAGTAGACCAAAATATCATTTTTTTGAAAACAATCAGGAAGGAATCCAGATAGGGCTTCAACACCCGGTTCATCAAATCCATAAATGCTGCTAGGGCATTTGTCAACCCAAATGACATCACTAGAAACTCATAATGCCCGTACCGAGTGCGAAAAGCTGTCTTAGGGACATCGGATGCCCTAATCCTCAATTGATGGTAGCCAGATCTCAAATCAATCTTCGAAAACACCTTGGCACCCTGAAGCAGATCAAATAAATCATCAATCCTTGGCAATGGATGCTTGTTCTTAATGGTGACTTTGTTCAACTGTCGATAATCTATGCACATCTTCGTCGATCCATCCTTCTTCTTAACAAACAACACCGGTACACCCCAGGGCGAGACACTAGGTCTAATAAAGCTCTTATCAAGAAAATCTTGCAACTGCTCCTTCAATTCTTTCAACTCTGGCGAGGCCATGCGATAAGGCAAAATAGAAATGGGTTGAGTGCCCGGAGCCAAATCAATGCAAAAGTCAATATCCCTATCGGGTGACATCCCAGGCAGGTTTGTAGGAAATACCTCTGGAAACTCCTGAACAACTGGTACAGAATCCATAGAAGGAACATCGGCACTAGAATCACGAACATAAGCCAAATAAGCCAAACACCCCTTCTCGACCATACGCCAAGCCTTCATATAAGAAATAACCCTGCTGATAGAATGACCAGGAGTCCCTCTCCACTCCAATTGAGGCAACCCCGGCAAGGCTAAGGTCACGGTCTTGGCATGACAGTCCAATATAGCATGGTAAGGTGACAGCCAATCCATCTCCAAAATGACATAGAAATTCACCATATCGAGAAGTAGGAGACCTACACTAGTCTCAAGGCTCCCAATAACAACCACACACGAACGATAGACACGATCTACAACAATAGAATCCCCTACTGGTGTGGACACATATACGGGAGTACTCAAAGAATCACGAGACACAACCAAATATGAAGCAAAATAAGATGACACATAGGAGTACGTAGATCCCGAATCAAATAGAACTGAAACATCTCTACTGCAAACTGAAATCGTACCTGTGATAACGGCATCGGATGCCTCAGCCTCAGGCCTGGATGGGATAGCATAACATCGGGGCTAGGCCCCACCACTCTGAACCATATCCCTGGGACGACCTCCTGCTGGCTGGCCTCCACCTCTAGCGGCCTGGCCTCCACCTCTAACGGCCTGACCTCCACCTCTAGCGGGCTGGCCCCTACCTCTGGCTCCCTGACCCCTACCTCTAGCTAGCTGGGCAGGCGGTGCCAGAACCATAGCACGAGAACTCTGCTGCTGCGACTGAACCCCCACTAATCTCGGACAGGTCCTCCAGACATGCCCATACTCACCACACTCAAAACATCCATCCGAATATTGCGGCTAGGGAAACTGAGACTGACCCTAACGGGCTGGCTGACCGCAATAATAACTCTGAAGAGGAGGTGCTCTGATGGGGACTGGCGGTACACTATAAGTTGGTTTCTATGAAGGAGGTACATAAGGATCACGACCCTCCGAAGCTCCATGAGATGTCTGAAGCGCTGAATGAAATGACCTGGGATGATGGCCTCTACCAAAAGTACCTCCGCCTCCAGATGAGGTCCCACTGAATCCACCGGAGTGACGAGGTCTCTTTTCAGACCCCTGACCACTCCCCTGATCTAAAACCATCTCAACTCGTCTGGCCACATTGGCTGCATCCTGAAAAGAAATCTCACTCCCTGTCTCCTTAGCCATCTGCAATCTGATAGGCTGAGCAAGTCCCTCAATAAACCTCCTCACCCTCTCTCTCTCGGTGGGAAGTATAAGAAGAGCATGATGAGACATGTCCACAAATCTGGTCTCGTACTGAGTGATGGTCATAGAACCCTGCTGAAGGCGCTCAAACTATCTCCGATAGTCCTCTCTCTGGGTGATAGGAAGATATTTCTCCAAGAATAGCTACGAGAACTGGTCCCAAGTGAGAGTTGGTGATCCAGCTGGTCTGGCCGAACAAAAATATCTCCACCATTTCTTGGCGGAACCTGGCAGACGAAAAGCAACAAAGTCGACCCCATTAGTCTCTACTATCCCCATGTTCCGTAGAACCTCATGGCAACTGTCCAAATAGTCTTGGGGATCCTCTGAAAATGTACCACTATAGGTGGTAGTGAAAAGCTTGGTGAACCTGTCCAACCTCCACAAAGCATCAGAAGACATAGCTGATCCACAACCGGTCTGTGCTACAACCCGGCGGGACTACCCCAACTGGCTAAGCTGCTGGAGTCTAAAACTAGGGAGCCATCTACTTCGGAATGTGAGTAGCGGGAGTCTATGCTCCTCCCCCAGCCCGAGAGACGGCTGGTGCTACAGGAAATATGCCGGCCTGAGCAACATTCTCCATGAGGCCCAATAGACAAACCAAAGCATCCTGAAGTACCGGGGTAGCTATGAACCCCTTTGGAACCTGAGTTGGGCCCGCTGGAACGGTCTGGGCCGGAACTTCATCATCAAACTCAACCTAAGGCTCTGCCACTGGTGCTGCTACTCGAGCTCTGGGCTGAGCCCTGCCCCTGCCTCGGCCTCATCCTCTACCCCTCGTAGGAGCTGCCTCTGGGGCTCGGGCTACTGATCAGCTGAAGAAGCGGTACGTGTTCTCGCCATCTGCGACAGAACAAAGTAGAAGTTCAATTAGCATTGAAAGATCAAACCGCACGACATAGATAAATAGAAGTGAAATTGTTCCTAACTTAGTAGCCTCTGGAGGATGCACAGACGTCTTCATACCGATCCCTTAGGCTCTACCAAGCTTGTTCGTGAATTGTGAGACCTAGGTAACCTAGTGCTCTGATACCAACTTGTCACGATCCGAATTTCTCACCTTCGGGACCATGATGGCGCCTAACATTGCACTCGCTAGGCAAGCCAACATTACAGGATATTACACCATTTCCTTTTATCATTTTATAATTAAAATTTAACAAGAACTAAATCGGTAGAAATAAAAGCGAAAGTACATGATTTAACTAATAATCTATACTAATATCGAACACAGAAATAAATACCACCCAGAAACTGGTGTCATAACTCATGAACAGTCTACGAATACTACAAGTATTGGTTTGAAAGAAAAATATACATCTGTCTTAGAGAAAGTAAAACAGAAATGAAGTAAAGATAGGAGGGGACGCCAGGGCCTGCAGACGCCTGCAGGACTACCTTGGGTATCTTGAAAGCAATGATAGCAACCAACCTCTCGATCAGCCACTAGCTCCGAAATTAGCATAGAAAGTGCAGCCTAACCTCAACGAAGTAGTGACGAGGCTACAGGGGGTATAACAATATATAACCTGCAACAGTTTATACTAAGACAGAAAGGAAATACGGAATGAAATATAACAGTAACTTGCATTAAATAAATACAGAACCCAGTCATTCTACCAATACTCAGCTATAACCAATCCTTAAGGGAGTTTCAAAACCACAACAATGAACCTCAGCAGAAAAAGAATACATAGCAACAAATGATGCGGCGCGCATCCCGATCCCAACATATAGGAGTGTTCATAAAAACCCGAAAAATCGAAAACCAAACCAAACCGACCAAAAAAATCGATACTTTTTGGTGATTTGGTTTTGGTTTTGAATTTTAAAAACCGATCAAATTTGGTTTGGTTTTGGTTTTAATCAGAAAAACCCGAAAAAAATCGAACCAAACCGACTATAATAGTAGCTATTTCAAATTTATTATCACACCTATATATATATATAATTTTATACAAAGTTTCAAAATTTTTATGGTAAATGTTAATATTTTACACATTTAGTATATTTCTTTACCTTTACATTCTAGTTTGATTGGTAGTTTTCTATTGTTAAGTGTAAGAATCCATTTCGTGTTAAAAATAATATATTTTTAATTGAGTCCTTAAATTATTCATCACTATTTGGTTCAATTATCATCAATATATCTTGGTAAACTATAGTTTCTCAAAGAGCAATTGATTTGATAGTGTTACGTTGAAAATGTGATTGCCGAAAAATGTGTTTGGTAGTGTATGTCTTATATTTAAGAAAAAATCAACAAATAACTGAAAAAACCGAAAAACCCGACATAAACCGAATCGAGAAAAAACCGACTTAGTTGGTTTGGTTTGGTTCTAATATTTGAAAAACCGACTTGCTTGGTTTGGTTTCTTTTTAGGGAAAAACCGATCCAAAGCGAAACATGAACACCCCTACCAACATATAATCAATAACAACATAATCATTCACCCTTATTACTCCTTATTGCAGCATGCAACCCGATCCCACCAGTCCACCCTTATTACTCCTCAATATATCACCCTTATTCCTCATGTTGCGACGTGCAACCCGATCCCACTTGTTCACCCTTATTACTCCTTATTGCGGCGTGCAACCCGATCCCACCAGACAATCATATTCACCCTTATTCCTCCTGTTACGACGTGCAACCCGATCCCAATATATATATAAGCACCAATCAAAAAATAGAGATAGGTGTCTCACAAGTTAACTCAAATCCTCCACAACACGCATTACCAGAAAATGTGCCTATGGCAACAGTTATTTTAGCAACGGTTCAACAACCGTTGCCATAGAACCTGTATGGTAACGGTTATAACCGTTACAGTAGCATTTAGGTGATATCAGCACACTTTAACTATAGAACCGTTATAATTGTAAAACAACCGTTGCCATAGATTCATCTGGCGCAACGGTTATATGAACCGTCTCAATAAAACTATCTACGGGAACGCTTTCGTTGTAAAAATTTCTATTGGAACCGTTATTTTTCCCCCCTTATTTTTCCTCGTAAATTTTATTACACCCGCCAAAACAACCCCTATTCATTTTATTTTTTAATAATTTTAATAATACATATAAAATAAAAAACTTTTTTGGCACTTAATTTCCCATTAACTGCGATATCTGCTAGGCGATACCCCCAAAACACCGAGTATCTTCTTCTTCACTGATACCCGCCCCCATCTCTCTCTCTCTCAAAATCTTCTTCTTCTTCGATGACCTAGGTCATCTTCTCAAAATCTTGCTACAAACTCCGATACCCCCATATATTTCTCTTCGATGACCTAGGGTTCGTTGTTTTCGTGAATTTCTGAACAAATTGGTTTTGGGGTTTTATTCTAATTGGTGTCAAGAAGTTGTGGCTGAAGCTTGGGTTCATTTGTTTGGTGTCGAAAATCGAATTTCTGGTGCTGAAGCTAGAAGAACAGCTTCAAATTTCTGGAGTTGAGTGCCTGAAGCTGTTGCGTAGCCTATGCACTCCTCGACGCATCAGGTATGATTTCTCTACGCTTAAACTTGTGTCATTTTCTGGATTTTGAGGGATTTGTGATTGATTAATCGAATAGAAGACTGAACTTCATTACTATTATTTGGGATAGATCGATTTGAATCTGTGAATTCGACTCACGTAGTTTAAGCTTGATTTTTTTTGAGTATTGAACTGAATTCGCAGTTCGACTTGAGGCTGCCATTGGTTGAAACTATTTGCTGTAAAATTTCTTGGAGATTGTTGAACTGATTTTGAAGTGTTCCATTGCTACTAACTCAGAAGAGATTAGCCATCTACTAAACTATGCAAATGTTGTTATTTCTGTTTGAAAATCCTGGCTGGTGACCGAAGAGACGGTTATTAGAACTGGCTGAGAAGGAAGATGGGGAACATAGTGTGATGTTTCTGGGATGGTTAGAGTAATGCCAGCAGTTTCTTATCTCTTCTTCCTTCCCCTTTTTATATTTTTCCAGTCCGAGCCTTGAAACTCAAATTCCATCACCTTTCAGTTTGTTCACTTGGCCAATCATTTTTCTCTTTCCCAATAATTGTAGGACATTAAGGTGCCCTTCATTACCTGTACTATTATACCTGACTGTGTATCAGCACCATATATGTCCACTACTCTCTTCCTTCTTTGCCAGTTCGTATTTCTATTTGCAACAAATCCTTACTCATTTTGAAGTCCTTTGAGCTTAGTGCTCCTTTTCTGCAGAAAACCCTAAGATGGACCTTTGGAGTACCTTTTAGGATCTTGTATAGGATGCCATCTGAACAGACACTATACAATTATTGTGCAGAAGTGTAGTAGACCAGTATGATTTGCATCACAGTTGCTTTTGGGATAAAATAGTTTATTCTCTTTCTAATGTTCCTTAGTGACAGAATTTTGGATCCAAGATAGGCTACAATTATGGTTTATATGTTTATTATGACTTATGAGTATAGTTGCTTGCTTGAAGCCATACTTAAGAGTTTCTCGTTGTTTCCTTTGCTTGAATCAGCTGGTTTGTCTAGGTTTGTTAATCCCTTTATTATTGGACTAGGCTCCACGTCAATGTTTTAAAAGGGACACGGTTACTCAATGGCTAATTGGCTGAAGACAGTCAGGTGTAGCAAATCCGAGTTGTAAAATTTTGGCATGAGGCATTTACATTTGCCTTTTGCTTAATGCAATTTGCTTTAAAGGTTTTCCTTCTCTAATGAAAAAGAAGGATGTGTAAAAAAGTAATTTAGTTATTCATAATTTATGTGATCCAAAACATGGGTATGTATTAGAACTAATCTTTTTGGTATGAAGGTTCATAAAACTAATAAAATATGAAGGAAATAGTCTAAATCTTTCATTTGGGAAACTACACTTATGTTTTTTTTTCACTCTTGCAAACTGACTTTAGCTCCAGCAATCTCGGTTTGGACCTTTTTCTGTTTTATGTGTGGTGCCAAGTGAAAGTTACTTAAGGCAAGCCTATCTCTGTCACTAGGAATTTCTTACAGCTGTTACCTTGTTTTTTGTATGTAGATTGGCTTGCTGGTGGGATATGTTATTTGCTAAACTAAAAGCCTTACTGTCTTAACTGTACATCTAGATCACTAGTTATTTCCTTCACCTTCCTGCTCTTAAACTGTTTGAGGAAAGACTAGATATAGAAATTACCTCCAAATTTCTTTTCTTTCGAAATCTTTTCTTTGATTACCCTGTTACGGGTTTAGTTAAGTAATTTTATGTCCACTTCTGATATTTTCCATTGAGAAAATAGCCCAGTGTCCGTCCTTATGACTGAGTGCTTGAAGATTGCTCTAGTACATGGTGTTTAATGAATACTTGAAGTTCTCACAATCTATCTGTTGAAGTGTGTGACCATTTCATCTAAAATCTTAAGCTGTTAGAGAGAGCGTACTTTTATTTATTTAATTGCCTCTTCAACACGCCCCCTCACGTGCGGGCATCATTTTTTTTCATTGGCCAAGCACGTGAGAATTCATTTCAAATGAATTTCAAGAAGAAGAAGACTTCTTGTATTTGTGTGTGTATTTTTACATCCCATGAGAATAAGTACTTATACAATGACTCCTAAGGCTAAATAAGGGAAGACAATAAATTACACATTGATTGCAATTAATTATAATGAAGGAAAATATTCTAGAATCAATCTACTCCTACAATTAAGCTTGGAAATCTCTAATCATACAACACTATAAAATGGGTGACGAAATGATCATACATTGTATTCTGGAAGATTTCTGGTGTAGTCAATATTCTTCGTAATTGTGTTAGAAGAAAGTTAGAAGTAAATGGAGAATGTCTGTAGCAGTTTTCCTTTTTTCTTTTCTTTTTGATATTTGGGAATGCCAATTTCGGTCATTGCAAACTTTACATTGCATAGAAATTATTTTGTGTGACCTTATAAGGCCATATTGAACGATGTTATACTGTCGACAATTTGGAAAAAAGGAACATCTAATACTTAGAAGATACTGAATCTGTAATATAGGCACAGGAATGTAGATAGTTGCACCTGTTAGCTTTTGAACTTAATTTGTATGAAGTATATAACTCAGACATTCTTTTAGTTCCTTCGTAACATTCAAGAATTGTGTAGCACCTCATGATTGTTTTGCCAACTTTTGTAATTCAAAGAATGTATTCATATCAGCATTTGCTTAGTGTTACGTAATAAAACTTGATTACTTATCATAATGCTTTGACAAGTGATTCGGCAATCAAATTTCACTGATTAATTAGCATGTTTGTTGAACTTTGTTGCTTCAGTTGCATAGTTTTGAGTTAAGTTTTGGGTCAGAATATGCACTAGTTGAGTGTAATTTATGCACTGTTTTGCAGAATTTCAGTTGTGATCGGTAGTGGTTTAAACTCCTTTGAGTCTAATTAGTTTGTTTTTATATCTAAGGCAAGATTATTTCTTGTTTTCTTTGCTCGAATGCTCTCCAAGTAATCCCTTTCTGATGTTAATTTTTGTTTTTTTTTTGCATGCTACTCCTTGTTGAACTATATAACCTTCTTTGGTGGTATAGATATTATTAGCTGAGAGAAAGTTTATTTCTGGTAGCCGAGGAGAAATCATTGCTGGTAACATAGGGAACACTCGTTGCTGGTAAGTTATATTAATTTAAATTTTTGGTAATTAGATTTGCTGGTAGTGTATTTGTGTATTTCGCTTATTTATCTTGTTATGTATGTTACTCAAAATTAGTTTATATTGTTATCTTGGGGTTTAACTAATAATGCCTTGAGTTAAGTTACAACATGTTGCTGAAGTCTAATTTTTTAGAACTGAATGCATGTGTTGAGTACGGCTCTAAATTAAAGTACTACAAATGACGGAATAGGCAAGCATTGTTATTTAATATTGTTCTGTAACTTTTTTGTTGCAAGAATACAAAAAATTCAACCTATTTCTTAGAGTTACCGAACTAGCTAGATATTTATTATGTCAGCATGCAGAAAACTCATAAAAATATACAAATGCACTATGTTAAAATTGATTATCTATGTTAAATTTAAAAATAAATATCCCACTTCTCTTCAGTTGCTCCTCATGAGTTTTCACCGTTAAAAGCATTGGTCAATATCTTATTATATGTAGGTTTATTTGGTTAATTTTGTTGATTTAATTTTATCGTATAGGATTTCCATTATCGATTTCAATGGATAATGGAGATAAAAGTTGGATGTATCTCCTAAGATGGACGGATGAGTATATCCGTGGAGTGAACAATTTTCTTGATTAAGGCATTTGAACGAGCTTCCCAGGAAAATGAAATATTATGCCCTTGCAAAAAGTGTATTAATCGCTATTGGCACTATAAAAAATGTGTCAGGTGGACATTGGCAGACTTGCTATACTAGTCAATAGTTGATCGCTGGTCCAGTTATTGGGTTCTCATGCTTTCAGGTCGTAATGTGTCAATGTGTATATATGAAGAGAGCCATTTGAAGAATACACCAATAATGATGATGATGTTGGTTGTTTTGGCTCTTCTCTTGATGTGATGGTGCTGGAGCTTTTAAAATTTTGAGTGCTTTGTTATCATTTTGAATTGAAAAGAATCCATTCTGATTTTGTCAGAGTTCAAGGTTTCTTGTTGCTGACATCTGAATTTTCAATGTTCCTGCTTTAATTCAAATAAATGAGCTGCTTTTCCCTACGGTATTTGGGGTCTTGTCATGATTCAATCAGCCTTTGTCCTTGAATCATATGACACACTCTGCATGTGCACTGGTTCCTGTGAAGGCTCCTCTAAGTTGAAGCAGACCATGTTTTTTTTAAACTTCAATAGTGAATTACCTAAATTATTTTTAGTTTAGTCATGTATTAGTTTGCTTCTTGATCCCTTATCCTATATGCTTTTAAAAATAGAAAAGAAAAAAGAGCAGCTTGTTAATTGAGATTATCTTAGGTGAGTAATCGTTCTTGTTGTTTCTTCAAATGGGAATACGAGGAGCACTATCTTGGAAGACATATATAGCAAAGTCCAAATTTGATTCTAGACGTTTAAGAGGGGAGCTGAGCTGGGGCAAAAAAATTGGAGATCTAGATAAAATATTTGTCTTATAAGCCCTTTTGGAACTGAACATAGTATTTCTTATCATTTTCGTCATGCTTGGCTTCTTGATTTTTTTTTTGGATAAGTAAAAGATAAATTGACTTTGTTATAGTAAGAGGTACTCCTACTTATTTAATTACTTAGTGGTTTTTAATCATACTAAGAACTGTTATTCTTGTATTGGCAGAAAGATGGTCTCTGTAGTCCTGATGTAGTGGTCTTTTGCAAATGTTTAGTTATTGTTGGTGTTCTATCCACATTGATCATAGTAAGAAGGATTCATTATTGTGGAATGCTAGTAATGACAGAAAGTTTTCAGTCAAAAGCTGTTACAATTTTCAGAAGAGAGGCTTTGTTCTGTGTAGCAGATGTATTCACTGTCAATGTTTCTTTTTTGTTGCAGAAAATGAAAGAAACCAACACTGCGAATCGCAAAAAGTTGAGATATCCACACACTGCTGGCAAAAAAGTTTTGCTAGAATATGCGAGGTTTGATATTTTTTTTCTTATTATTCTTTTAAATATGAACTTGCTAGGCATAATCTGAACTTTTTTATACCACTTTTTATGTAACCAGGAAAAAAAGAAAGAAACTTCTGAACCTCTATCAAGTAAGGACATATTTGTGGCTACAAGAAAAAGAAAGCCCGATCGAGTATACAAGGCCTCGTATGCTGATACTCTTAATAAAATTGTACGAGTTACTAATTTAAAATTTGTTGATATTATTTGTCTGTTATTAGTTATTGACTCAATTTTATATACTTTCAAATCTAAAATTGACTCAATTTGGTCTTGTAGGCTGAAATGGATAGAATACAATCAACACAAGAAACTGAAGATGACAGTCAATCACTTGACGCGTTTGCGTCCGTCATGGGACCTGAGCATCCGGGACGCCTAAGATTGTACGGACGTGGGGTCACCAAGACTTCCTTAAAAAGAAAAGTGGGAGTGGAACCTCTTCAAGTTCTACCGATGAGATGCTGCAACAAAAAATGGTGGAAATGGAAGAAAGGATGCAACAAAGAATGCAGGAAAAGTTCAATGCACAAAAAGATGCCATGGAACTACAAGTTGCAGTTAACATCATTTCACAACTTAAGCGTCTGAATCCAGACTTAAAGGTTGATCCCAGCATGCTAGCTTTCAATGCTCGTTCACCTGTAGATGCTTCCTCTGCACAACAAGCTGCTGTGCAACTAATCAATCGTCTATCGACTGGGAGTAATAATCGAGGTCAGTACGTACTCTTCTTCTCTTCCTCTTCCTCCTCCTTCTTCTTCTTCTCCTTCCGTTGCTTTTCTGCCACTGCTCTCTCTGATAAGGCTTTTAACCGAGCTAGTTTTAATTCTGCTGGTCCTTAGGAGTCTAGTACTGATCAGTTGATCATTTGTTAATTTGTCCAAGAATTGAAATTTTGTTTGGACTTTTGTTATGCCTTTGTTATTTGTGTCATAACATAATACCTTTTCTTGTGTCATGTGATGTTACGTTGTTACTTATGAGTGGTGAGAAATTGGATAAAGAATAAAGAGAGCGGAGAATGAATGCGGCTCATGAGTGATCTTGCTGTTTTATCCTTCGGTTCACATGTTCTTGCAAAAATGTTTTCATGCTCTATTGGAATAGCTGAATGGAAAAATAAGGTTTTGTTAGACCTCCTGTTAAAGAACTAATAGTATATACTAGTTTCATTGAGTTTTTGCCATTTTTATGAGTTTTAGCATATTGGTCTAGCAGAAAGCCATTAAGGGGTGTGTGAAAAATAGGTTCTTGATTAGCTGATTTTTTCTTTCTTTCATACTTTATAACAAAAAAGTCTTTTTTTTCCAACATTATGTATGCTTGTTTGAATGACTGTAGTATTTACTAGTTTCGTTGAGTTTTGCTATTTTTATGAGTATTAGCATATTGTTCTAGCAGAAAGCCATTGAGGGGTGTGTGAAAAATAGTTTCTTTATTTATATAATGTATGCTTGTTTTGATGACTATANCAACCTATTTTCACACACCCCTTAATGGCTTTCTGCTAGAATATCTGAAACTCATAAAAATGGCAAAAATGTATATACTGATCTCTAACCATACATGCACCATTATATATACCATGTGTTTGCGTGAGAAACCGTTGACCGTAGAAAGACAAGCATAGGTGAGTATAATCGTCTGTGTGTATCTATGTACAGAATACTACCTCTTTCTCAATGTACTTTGCAGGTGTTGTCCCTTTTATTTTTCTGCTACTTTTTGTTGTATGCTCGGCGAGACCTTATATTTTTCTGCTACTTTTTGTTACATCTTTTTGTTTTTGTCGTTTCTCTTTCCCTTATATTTGGCATTGGCTTATTAAAGCCAAGGCTAGAATGGTTAAAAGTTACAATTAGAAGAATGAAAGGGAAGATACAACCAACCCATTCTCTACTTATAAAGTTACAATTAGAGAAAATTCTACTATACCCATTCTTATTTAATGACTTTATTTATTCTCTTTTGTAGGTGGAGCAACTGAAGAAAGGAAAGATGGAGAAGGTGGAGCAACTCAAGAAAGGGAAGATGGAGATAGTGAAGATCTAGACCTTAAGAAGAACTTTGAGTTGTTGTCGATATACTTGGAGTCTTTTGTTATAGCATTTGAAACTTTAACTTTTGAAGTGTTGAACTGTAAAACTTATGTAATTGGGTTAAAACATTTTGCTATTATCGTTATTCTTAGCTTATTGGATATGAAAGATTATGAAGTGTTTTATCTTTTTATTTATATAATTTCCAGGTAGTAATGTCAATTAAACGTTTAAAATAGCCTAACAGAACTGTTGGAATAAGTACAAATGTCGTTGCCATAGACATTCTAAACCGTTCCGATAGGTCTTGCAAACCGTTCCATAAAGTGTGACAAACCGATGCAATTGGCAATTAAAATTGATGCAATAGAAACAAAACCATTACAGTAGCGCAATGAAACAATTACAATAGCTGTAAATCAACGTTGCATTAGCAAACATAACCGTTGCAATAAACTATATTGTAACAGTTTCGAACCATTGCATAAACTATATGGTAACGGTTTTCAACCGTTGTAGTTGATATGAACACTCGTTGCTTCAGCCAGAGGGAAAACCGTTGCGATAGCTTGATCTATAGCAACGGTGTGGTCAATCGTTGCGGTAGATCTATTGGCACGCGAGCGGATGTCACGGTCGCTGAACCGTTTCAATATAGCTATGGCAACGGTTAGCCTGTCAATTGCAACGGTTTACCTACTGTTGCCATAGGCCTATTTTCCAGTAGTGACGTATACCTCAAACCAACACAATGGAATATCACTACAATTATTAAACTTCACCAGTTACAACTACACAACGAGACCAACCAAAGTGTACCATGACACCAATAAACCAACATAGACCAACAGTGTGATATAACGGAACAATGAAACAATTAACAACACCAATGGAGAAACAACATTAACCAAGAGGCAGTTAGACATGGAAGCATCAATAAGCAAGTTGCAAGTAAGACAAGAGAGCAATATATAGGGAAACAGGGAAAGGAAATAGGCTGAACAAGTAATTTGGCGACGCATAGGTGCTCGTCACCACACCTATACGCCACACACATGGTATTTCACATAGCAAGCAAGTCGGGGATCCCTAATCCCTCAAGTCAAAGTTAGACCAAACACTTACCTCAAGCCAACAGGAAATTCACATCTCAAACACCGCTTTACCTCTCGATTCCACCACCAATCCACTCGTATCTAGTCATATTTAACTTAATAACATCAATAAACGCTAAAGAAACCAATTCCAATGCATAATTATAGATTTCCCAACATTTTTTCCAAAAAGTCAAAAATTGACCCTAGGTCCGCTTGGTCAAAACTCGAAATTCGGACCAAAACCCGATTACCCATTCACCCCCGAGCCCGTATATACAATTGGTTTTGGAATCCGACCCCAATTTGAGGTCTAAATTCCCAAATTTCGAAATTCCTAAGTTCTACCCAAAAATCTCCAATTCCACCATGAAAACCTTAGATTCTAAGATGAAATATTGTAAAACGAAGTAAAAGAGGGAAATAAATGGGTTAAGAATCACTTACTTATGGTTTGGGGAAGAAAGAGTATTTGAAAAATCGCCTCTTATGTTTTAGGGTTTTGAAAAAGTGAAAAGTGGATGAAAAGTCCCGTTTATATAGCCCTCTCTGATCCCTATTACGTGGGCCACGAAATACTGGGCGCGGTCGCGAACCTCACCGCGGTCCGCGAATTAATGGGAGCGGCCGCGGAAATTTTGGCCTTACCCATCGCGGTCCGCGAAGCCCTCCACCGTGGTCTCGAAATCCCATAGGTTCAGAGACCTGCAACTCTGTAATTATCCTACACCAGGTTTTTTTTCCTAAGCCTAGACATCTGTAGCCTATTCAAAACTCACCCGAGCTCTCGGGGCTCCAAACCAAACATGCACACAAGTCTTAAAACATCATACAAACTTGATCATGCGATCAAATCACCAAAATAACACCTAGAACCATGGATTCTGATGGGTTTTTAACGCCTTTGCCTTATGCTCCTTATGTTTTGATGATCTAACAAACTTATTTACAAGAACCAGATAGAGAACCTGACCCATCTTGCATACATTTCAAATGAACATGTTCAGCCTGATTTCCAGCAAATGAGTGAACAATCACAAGGAAGAACACAACAGGGACCTGGCCCCTTAGGGTTCCGTCAACTGTACAGCTGGAACATAACAGCAGAAGGTGACTATCCGCAACTGTTACAAAGAGGAACACAACAGGGACCTAGTCCCTTGGGTTTCTTTGACAGAAGTACAAGTCAACTATACAGCTGGAACGCAATTGCACAAAGTGATTGTCCGCAACTGTACACGCGACAGTGCAACAATCACTTCTCATTGGGAAGAAGCGTGTATCAAGAATTGACATCACCATTGTGATATCTTTTGTAGTATAACAACCTGGTGCAGGGCACAATATATTGACTTGTGCATTCAGTGATATTCATTCTAGCATTAAAGTGTTCATCCGGCATTGAATTCACTGGTGTGTCAAGAACAAGAAGACAACTCCACTAAAGGATCATTTTCACAACGAGTCTATGTGTATTCGTAGTTGAGTTGTAATCTTGTTATTTGTTCTTCATTGTAACTCCTATCTTGCTTTCTTAGAAGCTACGTTTCAGGAAACCAAAATCCGTAAACTTTCTGAGTTTATGTTGTGACTAGGTTTAGTCATAAGTTTAAAGTCTTTGTAACTAGAGAGTCACAAAGTGGCTTGTGGTAAGAGTATCACAAGTTAGTCAAGTTAAAGTCTTTGTAATAGAGTTATTACAAAGTGGCTTGTAATAGTTAGATTACAAGTTAGTGAAGTTGAAAGCCTACAAGTGTAGGTCGTGGTTTTTGTCCCCTTGTGTGGGATTTATCCACGTAAAAATCCCTTGTCTCTTTTACTTACTGCTTCATAAAGTATTCTCGGTAGAAACTTATGAAGGATCATGTGCTCTATAGTTTGGTGGACTTATAGAAGCTATCACTTGGTATCAGAGCAGGTTCTTTCTAAAAGGTTAACACCTAGAAAGGATCTCAATGGCTGCTCCACCCAACTTTGAGGAAGGACAATCAACCTACAGACCTCCTAGATTCAATGGATAGTACTACGGCTGGTGGAAGACTCGCATGCATGATTTCGTAATGGCCGAAGATTCAGAACTGTGGGACATCATCTGTGATGGTCCACATGTTCCTATGAAGAAGATTGAAGAAACTGGACCAATGGTGCCAAATGACAGAAAAGAGTACAGTGATATTGACAGAAAAGCCGTAGAAAAGAACTATCGTGCCAAGGAAATCTTGGTATGTGACATAGGACCCGATGAGTACAACAGAGTCTCAACTTGTGATACTGCCAAAGAAATATGGGAAGCGTTGCAAACCGCACACGAAGGAACGAACAGTCCAAGATTGACATGCTCACCACAGAGTATGAGCTCTTCAAGATGAAGCATGATGAGTCTATACATGATATGCACACCATATTCACATCCATCATAAATGAGCTTCATTCACTTGGAGATATTATTACCAAAAACAAGCTTGTAAGGAAAATTCTCAGTGTCTTACCGGGTTCTTGGGAAAGTAAGGTAAATGCCATCACTGAAGCTAAAGATTTACAAACTCTAACCATGGATGAGCTGATTGGTAATCTAAAGACTTACGAGATGAAAAGAAAGAAAGACAGTGAAAGGAGAGAGCCAAAGAAGGAAAAGAACCTGGTACTCAAAGCTGAAAGCAGCGACTCAAGTGAATAAGATAGTGATATGGCCTATCTTACTAAAAGATTTCAAAAGATGGTTCGAAGGAATGGTGGTATACCAAAGAGGGGCAGTTCAAGTAAGGCAAGGAATAATGATCTCTGTCACAAGTGCGGAAAGCCAGGACATTTCATCAAAGACTGTCCACTTGTGAAACAGGAGCAATACAAACAAAACCCTGACAAAGCAGCAAAAAGGAACCTAGTTTCAGACAAACGATTCAGTCGAAAAAGTGCAGCTGACAATATTGTGAAGCAGGCTCTTGCCGCTTGAGGAGACTCCTCCAGTGAATCAGAAAGAGAACTAAATGCAGAAAGCAGTTCCATGGTGGCAGTGGAAACGGAAGCAACGAAGTATGACTCACTATTCGCGCTGATGGCTCAGTCCGATGATGATAAAGAAGATGAAGATGGTGAGGTAAGCTTCAGGGATGTTCAGAGAAATCTGAAATCCTACTCTTCTAAGAAGTTAAGGTCATCAGCAAATGTTCTAATTGATGCTTATTATAGCCTTAATAATGATAATGAGATCCTAACCCTAGAACTAGGAGAAGCTGAACAATCTAGAGATGATCTGGTGGTCTGTGTAGTGGACCTAAATGAGACCATAGCTAATCTTGAAAAAGAAAAGGAAGTTCTGAATGAAAAAATAGCTAGTGTAGAAAATGAGAGAGATGACCTGATGATAGTGGTCGTTGACTTCAAGGAAACAATAGAAGGCCTTAGAAATGAGAAACACACTCTAGAAGAAAAAATTGCAGCTACTGAGCAAGAGAGGGATGATTTTCTAGTGATAATCACTGACCTAGAGGAAACCATTGAGGGACTCAATAGAGAACATAGGACTGTGAGTCTTGGGAAAGGGAAGGAAGTAGCTAGTGAGACACACATCAAGCTTGAAAAGGAATTAACTGATGTGAAAACTAGTCTATGTGGTGAACTCAAGAAAAATCGGCAACTTCAGGCTGAATTGGAGAAATTAAAAGTTGATCTTGAGAAATCTCTGAAGTGGACCTGGTCCTCAGATGTTGTCACTGCCATGTATCTCAAAAATAGTGCAAACATGCAGGGAATCGGGTTCCAAAGGGAGAAAACTCCTTACAACCCTCACAGCAAGTACGTCACTGTTACGGATAACTGGCTGTGTACCCACTATGGGAACAATGGGCACTTTAAAGAAAATTGCCAGGCCAGGGCTCAATCTGTTCAGAAAAATAAAGTGTTTACTGACAAAGTGACTACTAGCAAGGGACCAGGTACCGCTAGCAAGAAACGAATGTTGCCTGCATGGACTAGAAAAGCTCTCATCCATCCCTTTTATAATAACAAGGGACCCAAACTAGTTTGGGTTCCTAAATCTAACCCATAATTTATAGGTGCAAGGAACAGTGAAGGGAAGCGGATTGCAATGGACCATGGATAGTGGTTGCTCAAAGCACA